TATAATTTTTCACACAGCTGGCAACCCCCTTCGAAAAAAATACAACCTTTTTCATTTGACACCCCATTTTTTTAAATTGTATGAACCGTGAAAATGTGATGCCACTAACAAAAAATCTTTCACGCAACATATTTACGTAGGTAGTAATTTTTAATTGGTGGCAAGCCTACTTAAAATAAGTTAATTGGTACTTAATTTTTTATCCAACGAATGGTCTCATAATTTTTCAAAAGATGCAAACCATACTCAAAAATTAATTTATTACTGAACAGCTGGAGCCCAATCTCTTTCATTTGACACTTAATTTTTGGTAATCCAACGAATAGCCTACATCTTATAACTTTTCGCACAGGTGGCAGCCCTATACAAGTTTTAAGCACTAAAGGGAGGCTGCCGCCGCGTTATTTGTTTGGTAGCCTTAAGTATTTACTAACTTAGTTAAGTACTAAAACTATAAGAAATAATCTGTCATTAATATTTTTACTTTTTTTCCCAGAAATATGTTAGCGAATTGTCAACAGTGCGAGATTGCGCCACCGAGTGTGTTGAGAAGGGTAAGCGCACGCTTATTTGTTTTTAATTTTTTACTATTTACTAACATAAATACATACATACATACATCTATTGAACTTCTATTCCACTCTTTTTTTTCTCTGCATTTTCTTATTTACAGAAATCTGGGAGACGCAAACCTACTGCTGCAATACAGATGGCTGCAATGGGTCCACCAATTTGCAAGTTTCCAAACCGCTGCTCTTATTACCGTTAATATATTGCGTGTACAAATCGTTTGTGGTTGCTTTCAGGGAGCAGCGGCACTAAGTTCGGTAACATGCGGCTGAAGCAAGCAAAAAAAAAGTTCTTGTAATTATATAATTACTAACAAAATAATGGAAATGTAAGATAATTGAGTGCAATAAGGTTAAAAACAAATTTGAAAAATTTTAATTATTTTTCGTAAGTTTTGTAAATTTTATTTAATGCAAATTTGAATGTTTATTAATTTATACATATAATTACTTTTCAACTCGTATTATAAAATAGTTTCATTTCCAGCATTTTTTTTTTGATTATATTTCCTAAGCAAAAGAGAAAGTTCAATAAAATCGCAACGCTTTGCATTATTCCTCGTTCAAATTCGTACTTTTTAATAGTCTTCCCAAAAGTTTGAGTAGCAAATATATTAACAAACGAACATTTACACATGCAAGAAATGCATAAGAAAAATAGCAAAAATTTGAATATACATAAAGAAATGAAAAATATATACATACATACATACACACAACTTATATATATATTACCTAAATCCGAATGTTGAAAATCTTACGATTGCGATAACAAAAAAGCATATTAGAACAAATTCTAAATATAATAATGCAAAAAATATATATACATACATACTTACATATATGTAATTGTAATGTATACATATGTACATACATATGTATATGTATGTAATTACAAGTGTATATAAAGCATTTTCAGCTAAAACAT